AAGTAAAAGGCATTCAATTAGGAAAAGAAGAAGTCAAATTGTCCCTATTTGCAGATGACATGATCATATATTTAGAAGACCCCATTGTCTCAGCCCAAAACCTCCTTAAGCTGTTAAGCAACTTCGGCAATGTCTCAGGATACAAAATCAATGTGGAGAAATCACAAGCATTCCTATACACCAACAACAGACAAACAGAGAGCCAAATCATGAGCACATACAATTTGCAATTGTATGTAAACTCCCATTTACAACTGCTACAAAGAAAATAAAATGCCTAGGAATATAAGTAACAGAGGAGGTAAAGGATCTCTTCAAGGAGAACTACAAACCACTGATCAAGGAAATAAGAGAGGGCACAAACAGATGGAAAAACATTCCATGCTCATGGTTAGGAGGAATCAATATTGTGAAAATGGCCATACTGCCCAAAGTAATTTATAGATTCAATGCTATCCCCATCAAGCTACCATTGACCTTCTTCACAGAACTAGAAAAAAAACACTTTAAACTTCATATGGAACCAAAAGAGAGCCCACATAGCCAAGATAACCTAAGCAAAAAGAACAAAGCTGGAGGCATCATACTACCTGATTTCAAACTATACTACAAGGCTACAGTAATCAACACAGCATAGTACTGGTACCAAAACAGAGATATAGATGAATGGAACAAAAGAGGGGCCTTGGAAGCAATGCCATAAATCTAAAACCATCTGATCTTTGACAAACTGGACAAAAACATGCAATGGGGAAAGGATTCCCTGTTTAATAAATGGTGTTGGGAAAACTGGCTAGCCATATGCAGGAAGCTGAAACTTGACCCCTTCCTTACACCTTATACAAAAATTAATTCCAGATGGATTAAAGATTTAAACATAAGAACTAACACCATAAAAACCCTACAAGAAAACCTAGGCAACACCATTCAGGACATAGGCACAGGCAAGGACTTCATGACTAAAACACCAAAAACAATGGCAACAAAAGCCAAAATAGACAAATGGGACCTAATTAAACTTAAGAGCTTCTGCACAGCAAAAGAAACAATCATTAGAGTAAACTAGCAACCAACAGAATGGGAAAAAGTTTTCACAATCTACCCGTCAGACAAAGGGCTAATATACAGAATCTACAAAGAACTAAAGCAGAATTATAGGAAAAAAACAAATGAACCTATTCAAAAGTGGGCGAAGGATATGAACAGATACTTTTCAAAAGAAGACGAATATATGGCTAACAAACATATGAAAAAATGCTCATCATCACTGGTCATCAGAGAAATGCAAATCAAAGCCACATTGAGATACCATCTCATGCCATTTAGAATGGTGATCATTAAAAAATCAGGAGACAAGAGATGCTGGAGAGGATGTGGAGAAATAGAAATGCTTTTACGCTGTTGGTGGGAGTGTAAATTAATTCAACTATTGTGAAGATAGTGTGGCAATTCCTCAAGGATCTAGAAATAGAAACTCCATTTGACCCAGCAATCCCATTACTGGGTATATTTCCAAAGGATTATAAATCATTCTATCATAAAGACACATGCACATGTATGTTCATTGCAGCACTTTTTATGATAGCAAAGACCTGGAACCAACCCAAATGCCCATTGGTGATAGACTGGACAAAAAATTGTCGCACATATACACTATGGAATACTATGCAGCCATAAAAAACTATGAGTTCATGTCCTCTGTAGAAACATGGATGAACCTAGAAACCATCATTCTCAGCAAACTGACACAAGAACAGAAATCCAAACACTGCATATTTTCACTCATAGGCAGTTGATGAACAGTGAGAACACTTGGGCACAGGGAAGGGAAAGACACTCACAGGGCTAGTTGGTGGGGTGGATGGGAGTGGCGGGGGGCAGAGTGGGGAGGGTTGGGGAAGAGGGGGAGGGATAACACCTGGAGAAATGCCTGATGTAGGCAATAGTGGCGGGGGATGGAGATAGCAAACCACGTGGCATGTATGTACCTATGCAACAATCCTGCAGGATACAGGACATGCACATGTACCCCAGAGCCCAAATACAATTAAAAAATAAAAATATAAAATAAAATAATGTTTATGATTATGTAACAATATTTTTAAAATGATGTATGTGAATATTATCTAACAACATGAATAATGAATAAATGTTGCCAATAAATGGAAATATAAGCATCTTATTGTTACACTAATACCATAATTTGTTTAAATTGTATATGCAATAAAAGTCAAAGGTCATTTATTTAAAAAAAAAAAAAAGTCACTCAAAATGTAGTGATGACTCAACCAGATCATTTTCTGGTGAGATCTTGATTGGTTTAATAAGCCCTGGAAGCAATGGTTGATATATGTGTTTAAACATACATAGCAAACTCATTTTTTTTCCTCAAATACAGCACTGTTTTAAAATTGATGGACTTAAGGGATAGAAGCAAATTATCTATGTGACAATGTAGAGAATAAATTGGAAGGTTATGTGAAGCCAGAGGAGGATGGGATGTATTTTATTTCAGAATTTTTGAAAAATAAAAATATTGGTACTTCTTCCAGAAAAGAATGCTAATCACATATGAACTAAAGTTCATATCAAGTCTTCTAATCTTTTTAATTCACCAAGTAAGTCACATTCTTTGATACCATGTAAAAATGTAACAGAAAATATGAATTTAACAAAAGAGAGGGCTATTGTTTCTTAAGATGACTAACAGGATCATTAATCAACTTAAGTCACATATTAATATCCTTTGAGGAGGTGCGGCTATGTTTCAATAAAACTTTATTTCAAAAATGAGAGGTGTGTTGAATTCGGCTTGTGAGTCATAGTTGTTGAACTCTATTCTTAAGCTTTACCAAGGTTGAAATGTAAACAAAAATACTTCTCTATGTCAAAGAGATAAGAAAGTAGGCAAGGAAAATTAGCAAATCCCTGCACAAAGAACAGTTTAGCTGTCTATCGACAATGGCTGTGTTTCGTCAAGTCTGAACTTAAAACCAAATCATTGACTCTTTATTGTCACAGATCTTAGCATATAATGGTGTCCCATGGGCAATTAGAAAATATTTTAAAATGGATAAAAAATATATATGAAAAAGCTTCAATATTTAAAAATTCAGGCTGAAAAATTATAAGCAAATATCTTTAAGTTAATATTTAATCTGAGAGACAGTAGAGAGAGATAGGCAGGCACTGATATACTCTACCATTACAGGTGTTGCTGTTATTAATATTTTCAAAGAGAATTTGGCAAAAAACTTTAACAGTAACTCGTTAATATTTTCCTCCAATAATACCACTACCAGAAATCTATTCTAATGAAATATCAGATTTATTAAAAATTTACACATGCAAAGTCTTTCATCACACAACAGCTAAAAAGGAAACCTTCTGGAAGCAAGCTATATGTGCAGTAATTGAGAAGTTATTAAATAATAGTATGTGCACAAGTATAGTTTATAATTATTAAAAAATGTGTTTACATTTATGATATTTTTGTTAACATGGACAAATAAATGTATTACTCTAAATCAAATCATGACACAAAATTATGACTTTTATCATGAACACGCATGAAGAGACTAGAAGAAAACCATGAAAAGTAAGTGGTGGTAGAGGTGGAGCTAGAAAGGATCATAAATTGTTTCAATGAGTTTAACTTTTTCAAATACAGCCAGTGCTCGACTTACGACCACCGTCGGGACTACGGACCAGTTGTAACATGATCTGGTCGTAAGTTGAGTAGGCTATATGTATAGTTGAAATGGTGCACGCGGAGATGGTAGTGCTGCCGGAAGCTGGTCCGCACTGTCGGACGCCCAGCTGGGCAACGTTTGGGCTGCCAGACACAGAGCAGTCATAGCTAACGATTGTGGTTGTAAAGTCGAATGGTCGTAAGTTGCATAGGTGGCAAGTCGATCAATACCTGTATTCTATAATGTTTTTAATTAGGACAAAAGTACCATTTTAGAATATGCCCTGTGTCACTTTTCATTACATACACCAGGTGGTACAAAGCACAATGCTATTTTATGTATCCAAACTAATTTTTAAATATTTTTTCATCAAAATTCGTGTTGGATTTTCTAGATACCAGGAAAATTTGGAATAGGCCCAACTATAAATTAGCACCAACCCTTTGGACCTGTGGTATGCTATTTTTTTATAGTGCCTTAAAATATAACAAAAATACTATTTACTTAAAAGCAATCAATATGTCTGATACAGAAATAAACAAGTTAGATTGAATTCTGGAAGAGAAAGGGGACATTAGTGGACATTGACAGGACATTGATAAGGTCTATAAATTAGATAATAATATTGTATCAATATTAATTTTCTGATTTTGATCACTGTACAATGGTTATGTAAGACACTAATATTGGGCATCAGAGTAAAATGCATACAGGAATTTTTTGTACTGCTGTTGCAATATTTTTTGAGTATAAAATTATTTCAAAAAAACAGGAATTAAACAGATTAACCAAAGGAAACCAGGAATGCCCACCCACATCCATCTTGATTGTCTGGAAAACTCCTACCTATCCTATAAACCTACTTCATTGTCATTTCCAGGGACCCTCTTCTGACTCTGTCTTATTCCACTTCTGGGCTGCCTCAATGCCTCAGGCATTATTTTATTTTTTGACTTATCACATTTTGCTCTCATTGCTATTACTTGTCGAGGCTCCAACTAGACAATGTGCCCCTAGAGGGCAGGGCATGTCTCATTGAATCCTACATCCCACCATCAATTTCAGTGGCTGGCACACAACAGGACTGAACACAAGTCTCATAATCTAATAAACATGTGACTGTTTATTACACAAAGGGAGGATCTGGGTCAATAACATCGAGATGAGCTATTTATCCTATCACTAAGCTAAGATAAATGCAGCACTAAACCTATAGCCCAGGTGTCCCTAATAGGCATAGTCAATTTCATGAGTTTGCTTTTGCTTTCAAATCAGAAATTCTCTGAGCAAAAATTAAATGTAGCTTACCTGTGTGTCTGTCTTTGAGGGCAGTTTTACACATTTCGATCCTGGCTGAATGAAATGGCACATAACGGTCTTGGGGAGAAGCAACCAGCACGACGTTTTTAAAATACTGCAGCCCTGCAACAATTAGCCAGGTGAGTGCTTTTTATCCAGACAGACTTCACTTCAACACCCTCTGGTTTGCACAAATTTCCAGACTTGTCCCAGAAAGAGAAAAAAATGATGACACACCACACACTCCTTGTGTCGTTGCACAAGGACCTTCCGTCCTGAGGTTTAACAACCCACAGCCGAAGGCACAGAGGTATCACAGGGGCCTACGGGAGTCTGAGAAAAGAAGTCACTATACTGGGCCTTTGCATTTTTGAAGGGAGATGAAGCCTGTTCTCATCAGCCATGAAAGCTAAGGAGACACATAGAAAGCTACTCTGGACACGGAGAAATAAGCAACAAGGATGTGATCAAAACAGCCTTTTCTTAGAAATATTAAGGAGCCCAGAAGGAAGTCAGTCTGACTATTCTGTTCTTCCTCCACAACCCCAACACTCCCCTAATTCCAGCCTTCACCACCTACCACGCTTTAGGAAAACTGCCTCAGAACCCACCTCTGTGCTGCCAATCTTGCCTTCTGCAACCTGCCTCCACAATGCAGACAGAGGGACCCTTCCAGTTAAACATGACAGTGTTTCCCTCCAAGGCCTCAGAGCCCAGTGTCAACCTCCAGAGCACTACAGACCACCCAGATACTCTGTCTGGACAGAAGCCATCCTTCTCATTCCCCAGGTCCTGCTGGGTGAGCAGGTGTCAGCTCTTAGCCCTGTGTCCTCCACTGAAGTGGGTCCCTGCATCAGAGCTCATACACTGGGGGCAGCCTACTTCAACAGCTAGCCAATACACGAGTGTGGAGGACAAAGTTGTAATGGCCAGCCCCTTGCCCTCCTTCAAAACAGCTCTCCAGAGCCACCCCAGATCCTGCACCCCTGATGAACTCTTCAGTGACCATGCTGCAGTCCCACCTACTTCTGCCAAATCCTGCCTCCCTCCTCTTCCCCCACAGAAGACAGCTCTGAGAGCTCAACTCAACACACAGAGACACAAAGTAGGAAAAGAACTCAGCCATGCTTACAGATCAGCCCGTGGCTATACCAGATTCACAAGCCCAGAGGTATCAGCAGAGTCGGTTTTTACAGGACAGTGGAATATTGTGACCAAGAACGGACCCTAGGCCAGGCTGGCTTGCGTGGTGGGACTGAGCAGGGCAACCAGTCAGCTGCTCCACTCCCCGACTGGACATGGGAACCACACGGTGATGATCATGATTACTGCTGTGCTCTGTGGTCATTCCCATGTAGCAGGCAGGGTCTTCAACACCTCTATGCGCTTCCAGATTACGGACAGCAGGTACAGGTATAATAGCAGGCCTGCCTGGGGATGACCCTCGTCTCCCACTGCACAGTCAACATCAGCAGAAATGTTGCACCTGCCTTTTTTTGTAGATGGGCCTATACCTGGGTGAAGCTGGCACATAGATCTTGGGCCTATGCAATTAGAACATTGAAAACTGGTACAACGCGGAAGCCACAGCTTCTGGCTATTGATATGATCTTACTCACACCTTGGCTCAATCTCTCACATGTCATATGGGCAATAGGCAAGAAGAGCTGAGTTTCTGGTAGCTGTTAGCCTCCCATTGAGCTGAAGAGGTTCTGAGTGCTGGGCCTCCTGACTGTTCCCTTCTGTGAGTGAATCAAGGGAGCATTATAGCTCATTTGTATCTTGGGAGTTGAATCCCAAGCTCAAACTCATATCTGCAGCGGCGGGGGAAACCACTGACCTGTTTTTTGGCTTAGTTGGTAGAGGAAACATTTGCGCAAATCAGCATTATCCCTGAAGGTCAGCTGCAGTAGAGACCCAGATTTCTTCAGTTTCTGCATGAGCCATAAGCCTAGGAAGACAAAAATAACACAAAAATCAAAAACATAAAACAAAACAAAAGGTAGGATGGAATTTTGGTGAGATAAATGTTAAACTGTGAATTGTAGTTAACTTGAAAATAAGAGAGAAGTAGGCATGCTACCAAATAGTTGGGAAGTTAGAGGTACATTTGTCCTCTCGTGTACTGGGACAAGGACTTAAATCATCCTGCAAAAATGATAACAGGCTTCAGAGTAAGGAACTATTTATACTCTTCAATCCAGTCAATCTCCTTCTGAAAAAGCAGCTTAGGGCAATGATTTTCAATGTAAGAAGTGTATAAGAATGATCCTTACAGATACATTTAGGATACTGTGAAGCTGGAATAAACATCTCACTTCAAAACTCATCTGTTGGCCCACTTTGGTGGTTCATGCCTATAATCCCAGCACTTTGGGAGGCCAAGGCGCGTGTATCACCTGAGGTTAGGAGTTCGAGACCAGCCTGGCCAACGTGGTGAAACCTTGTCTTTACTAAAAAAAAAAAAAAAAATTAGCCAGGCATGGTGGTGGGTATCTGTAATCCCAGCTACTCAGGAGGCTGAGGCAGAAGAATCGCTCGAACCTGGCAGGCAGAGGTTGCAGTGAGCCGAGATTGTGCCATTACATTCCAGCCTGGGCAACAAGAGCAAGGGTCCATCTCAAAAAACAAACAAAAACCAAAAAAACTCATCTGTTTAGCTATGCTTAGGTAAACACTAACATTGACAAGTATAAGGATTATGTAACCACAGCAAGCAAATTAATCTGATAGAAACACAAGGAAATAGGCAAGCTGCAGTATGTACATATATTACGCTGACTGCTACATCAATATGGGTGTGCAAATGTAAGTAGAATGAAATATATAAAATTACTCTGGATATGTTAGATTGGAGAAATTATCGGTAAAGTCTCTCTTTAAAAATATTTTATAATATTGCAAGATTACTTTGTAACTGTGGGGGGGAAATGCGGTTTAACAAATTTGTTTCTGTCCAAAGAATGGCTTCCTGGTTTGGGAGGAGAGACAGAGTGAGAGGAAAGGACTTCCATTTGTTATGTGCCAATGTGTCAGACAACTCATTTTCACAAGTATGCCCTAAAATAACTTAAAAGCAAGCAAATTAAACTGAGTAGGTCATGAAGAAACAGTGTAAGTGTTGGGAGGGGGCAGGGGAGGGTGGCAGAGGTCTGGACGACTGCAAAGGCAAGGAAGCTTATCAGGGGTGACCCTAATACCACATGATGGGTTTGCACCATCAGGGACTACTGAGGTATTGTTAAGACCATGATTTAATAAACAATTTGTTATTACATATAAAACCCAACGCCCTCCTTGGGCTTCCACACACAGAACCATGTCACCTCCTCAGCCAAAATCTCATGAATGGGATCTGTAAGGTCTACAGGATAAGTCTAACATCTTCTCAAGTCATTTGAGGCCCTTCTTTGTCTGGCTCTTGCTGATATATTAGACCTTCCACAGATGTTAGCTAACCTCATTTCCTTCCTGTGTGTAATCTTCAACAATTCTGTAATATACACCTGCACATATGCACCTACACACCATATATGTGTATACATACATATAGTGTATACATGTTTGTACACATATACATATGTAAATGTAGGAAAAGAACTCTGATCCAGTCAATTTCATATTGACATATACATATGTACATACATATACATATGTACACAAGCATGTATATGCTATATGTATGTATACATATATATGGTGTGTAGGTACATATGTGCATGTATACAAACACAGATATAGACACACACATAATCTCCACTGTACAAATAGGGAGACTGAGGAGCACAGAGATGAAATGTCGAGGCCAGAGTCTTTCTCAAGTGTCCTGGTCAGGACTAAACTACAGGCTTGTCATGCAGGTGGCATGATTCGGAGTCCTTGTTCTTTTCATCACAACACCATGCCTTGTCAATCTTTTCCAACCAGGACCCCAAGGACATTGCCTTTTTTTGGCAGAGACTTGAAGGCAGAAAGGATCCTGGGAAACATCTAGTCTCACCTCACCCAGCCCACAGACACAAGGGCCACACCTCTAAGGCCAGGTCTCCTGCCTCCATGGCATCCTTGGAAGAGGCTTCACAGTGACAGGGTTCCGTGTGAAAGAGGTCCTGGATTAATTCTGAGGAATGATGAGTCCTGGAAGAGCCTTACCTGTACTAACCAGGGTGCTGTTGTTATACAGGGTTCCCAGGTGAGGCCCAGAGAGTGACAGGAACGTGTGGAGTTTGTTGAGGTAATACCGGAACCGAGGCCGTGTGAGGACCGATCGGATGATGATGTTGCCAAGAGAATGGCCAATGAAGCTGTGGAAAGACAGAAAGGGGACCCGTGAGTGTGACAGTGAATGCTGCTGCCCAAGAGTGCAGTGCTGGAAGCATCAGGGGCCAGCATCCTCCACCTCCCACTGAATTTAGGGAACCGGCAAAGAGAACGGGGACCGCCAACTCATCATCAGGTTTCCAAATCCTGGTTGAGAGAAGCCTGAGACAGGGTCTTTGTAAATGGGAGCTTTATGTCGGGTCAGGGGAGAAGTGTGAGCATTTCAACCAGCTTCGTGCTGTTAGAGCAGCCTGCCCTTATTCCACCCTGGGGGAGGGGAAGGTCCTTCCTGAAATGTACCTCTCAGCATTAAGATTTCCTGATCATTCATAGGATCAAGTCTCAAGTCCTTATCCTGCTTGGGAGGTCATTCACAGCCTGAATTTGGATGGCCCCACATGCCATTCATTCTCTCCTTCACCCGCTGTGTATGTTGAACCACGGGCTCACAGTGTATGCTGTTAGGCCCCCTCCTGCAGGCTCTGCTCCAGCCATACTGCTACTCACAGGCCCAGGATTCAATGCATCATTACTCTCAAGTTAAATACTTATTTACTGAGAGCCTATTATATAAGAGGCTATACACCTCCCCACTTCTACTCATGATGAGCAGAAAACCAGTCAAGAAAAGAAATCAGTGTCAGCCTATGAAACTGCCTTACCTAGCTTGTGTTCTTTTACTCTTTTTTTTAACCTAACCTCTATAGGCTTCATTTGTGGAATAAAGAAGTATTATTTTATATCTGAAGACAAAATGGCATAATGCATATCAAGGGATTAGCACTACATCTACATATTTGAATGCACAAAAAATGCAAGCTGCTTACCCGCCCTGTAGTCACTGAAATATGTGGTACAGCGTGTGAATAAAAGTAGCCCTGACTGAAAGCCGCCCTTTGAGCTAGGCAACTCATTCCACTTTTCCCACATCATCTCAGTGCTAGTTCCACTTAATAGATAAGGAAACAGCAGTTTAGAGATTTAGAAACCTTGCAAAAGACTATAGATCTGGTACATGGTAGAAACAAGATTCAAATTTGTGAGTGTTAGAATGAGAATTCAAACCTAGGAATTTTTGTTTAAAGTCCAATACTCTTTCTACAGAACTACAAAATTTTTATTCTCCGTGACATAAATGATGACATATGAATGTATACAACAGACCTGGTACTTACTTCTGCTTTAAAAATAATTTAGGTTAAAAGTCAAAAGTTAGCTTAGCTCAGCGGTATACAGAAGGCATCACATCACACTTTTATACAGCAAACACTCAAAAATGTCACCCCTCTTCCCCCAGCATTAACTACCTGTGGTTTCCTTTTACCTAATTCGGGATATGGAGAGGTTGTACAACTGAATATGTTGAATGATTTCATCCAATAACCGATCCGTCATGGTATCAAAATCTGCAAATGTGTCCATCTGGAAGAAGAGAGAGGAACAGGCTGCTGGGTATGGCTGTGGCAAAGGCTGGGTTCTGGGCATAGCCTGTCTTCTACTAAACACTGTGGTACCTACTGGGGGTGTGCCTACCTCTGACATTAGGGCTAGGGGATGAGCTATGACTTCAGGACAAAAGGCCCACAGACTGGGGGTCTAAGGAGGAAACATGGAGATGCTGAGGACTGCTCAGCTGGCGGGTGGCTAACACTGAAATATGTGCCAACTGCCACACCACCATGCTGCCCAGCATCTCAGCATGCCACTGGGATTGCCGCCCCCACAACACAGAGGAGGAAAGAGGCTCTGGGAGGGGAGGCCCCCTGTTCAGCTCACATGACCCAGGATTCACACCAAGACAGGCCTGACTTGAAAGGCTCTGCCCTTTCTGCAGCACAGCCTTTAGAGGATGCAACAAGGCCAAGACCGGAGGGCAGTCAGCTTTGGGAAGGATCGTAAAGCCACCCACATCTTAGGATGGATGGTTGAAGGATCCAGGAGGAATCCAGGAAGGGGTGGAATGCCACACATGTCCTTGAATATTTGAAGGGCAGGAAGAAGGAAGATGCATTAGACTGGTTTATATACCTCAAGGACTAACTTTTAGAACAATGAATTGGAGTCACAGAGAAATAGATTTGGGACCGATATCCAAAAATGTTTAAAAAGTTCCTCATATGTGGAGCTGTCCTATAACATCATGGGCTGCCAAGAGCTAGGAAAAGTGAACAGAATGTCTCACAAATATCCGTCAGGTGAATGAAGGAGTACATGTTGGGGGATAGGAGTAGAGAAGAGAAGGCCTTCGGGACTCTCTGTCACCTGCCATCCAATGAGCTTTGAGACTGGAGAGAATAAAGCATACTGCTAAATCTCTTGGACTTCCTGGAGTAAGAAAGAACCATATGCTTTTCTGCTTACGAGATGTACCTGTTGTTTCCCATGTAAACCTCAGTCTCCTTATTTATGAAAGGGGAATTGTGCTGCCACCTCCTTATGCCACGTTAAAAACTAGGTACAATTATTTAAGAGAGAGGCTTTTTTTCTCTGACTTTTCAGAGCCTATTCCCTCATCTATAAAATATTAATTCAACCTATGCATTATTTAAACAAGTGGCTATAATTATAAGGCCTGAGTTGACCATGATGAGCTATGCTTTGGAAATCACAGTAGGTTGAAAAAGCATTATCAGGAACTCCCCAACCAAGGCATTTAAAAGTGTATTAATATATATTGCAAGTGGATCTGCTGGTGAGGTGACTTTCAAAAAGTAATAACAATAATCATAGTGGAACATAATCAATACCAAGTGCCCAACACCTGCAATGAAGTGAACTATGTAAAGGCCCAGCTCTAAAGACCTGAGATTTCCAGGTTGAACCCAGCAGCCATGAAGTCACGTCAGGAAAGCTGCTGGATGTGCACACCCGGAAGGAATGATTATTTCCTGACCAGATCTCCCTTGCTAACAATTCTTATCTTCCCTGAAAAGAAAACCTCACTAGCACAAATCAAAATTACAAAGTTAGCAAGTGCTGCTCACCCACTTCCCTGCTCCCTCCTCTGAATGCTCTGGCCATTCAGAGCATTTTAGACAGGGTCTTACTCTTTCACCCAGGCTGAAGTGAAGGGGTGCAATCACAGTTCACTGCAGCCTTGACCTCCCTGGGCTCAGGTCATCCTCCCACCTCAGCCTCCCAAGTAGCTAGGAATATAGGCATGTACCATCAAATCAAGCTAATTTTTGTATTGGTTTTTTGATTTTTCTTTCTTTTTGGTAGAGAAAGGGTCTCACTTTGTTGCCCAGGCTGGTTTTGAACTCCTAGGTTAAAGAGATTTGCCTGCCTCAACTTCCCAAAGTGTGGGGATTATAGTTGTGAGCCACCGTGCCTGGCCTATCCTCTCTTAGGACTGGGTCAGATTTGTTCACGTATTAAAGTTAGGTGCACACAGGAATTATATTCCTGGAGATCACATATGCTATCTTCTTCTCTAGACTGATATGGACCCTGCCTAACTCCCAGAATCTCCATTCCCTCTCCTGTGAGGAGATGGTGGTTATCAACATGTAATAGAACTGCCATGAAGATGAAATGAGAAAACAGGTACAGAGTACTCAGATGATCCAAAACATCATTCTCTTCTCTCTCCCTCACATCCGTACCTCTGTGTACTGCATGGTGCACAACTTTGCATAGAGCAGGTGCCCAAGTAGAGGCAGCAGAATTGAGTGCCAACAATTGGGAACTGAGCCATTACCCAAATAATTGATGCTTTCACTTGCCACCCACGTTAATGCCTTGTGAGGGCAAAGGCTCCAGTCAACTGATTCACATGTTCCCATTTCTTACCCTTTCCTCACCTTCCCAAAATAAAACAGTAAGTCTTTTCTTTCCAACCCATCCAAGTGCCTGGCCAGCATTGCTTTTCAAGGTTTCCTCTTATCTGTGTGTGTCCATAAATTATCATGGCACATTTAGGAGGCTCATAGAAGCATGCATTCAGGGTTCTTCCAGTTCTGATATTTTTACCATCATACCTGATTCTTTTCAGACATTAGGAAGTCCAGTTTTCCTCCAGGGAGCCCCAGTTCTATGAAGGTCTTTACCAGCCGGAGGTCTGCACTGTTCCCTAAAAATGACATTACCCCCACCCCAGACCCGTAATTAGTCATATAAAAAGTTGACACACAAGGGATTTCTTTCTCTCTCCCTCTTCCCCCATTTCTATCGGGTTTTCTCATTTTTGGTTAAGCAGATAATAAAAACAACTAAAACAACTAGAAACCCCAGCTTTCCTGCCAACCCTCGGCCCCACACATGCACAGTTTGGTCCTTTCTAGCAGCCCCACCTCAATGGACTTATCCCTGATCCGTAAGCATGTGGCTTGTGAACACCCTGCATGCAGGAACAGTGGGAGGTACACCACCTCCCCTCCTTCCACAGCAAATTCCATTTTGCAAATGGTTCCTTCTAATGGCTAATGAGGCACAATGTGACCCCTACCAGCCCTGTCTTCAGTTCTTGCTGAAGAAGACTATCCAGTGCTACTATTTACAGGTAATCTGCAAACCTCTCCCAATAGGCCAGTCATGGCACAGTTATCTAAATAGAATAGGACTCTCTTGGGAACAAGAGTCATGGCAGAGCTAGCTCCATGAAGGCACAGCAGTGGCCGTCAGGGAAGGGGAATGAAGGGTTAAGAATGTACGGCTGTCAAGGCACAAAGAACACAGGAAATGCATTCCCACAATAAAAAATCATGTGAAAACATGATTTTACTACAACAGAGTAAAGTTTATATGCAAGTATAGTGAGGCATAAATTTAATGCTGGTTGCAGGGGTTCAATTACATCTTAATACATTTTTGTCCTATTTCTTAAAAGTTCCCTGTAGAGTTGAAAGTCAGAAGCTGGTTATTTGGGTATATAAATTACCTACTATGCCATGTAAATCTACCTCACAGGTCATAGTTTCAAAATAGTCGGTAAACTGTGAGTGAAAATATCATTCTTTATGAAACCATCCAATGATTCAAAGGAGGGTGAAAGCGCCACATGGAATTGGGGGAACTCTAGGTGTTTGGGGGTATCCCTAATGCTTAAGGATGACTCAGATATGCCCAAATGCCACCCATGTCAGTGGCCTGTCAGAGCACATGCCCAAACTTGCAGGATCACAGTCACAAAATGGTTATATTTATTTATTTATTTATTTTTTTATTTATATATATTTTTTTATATTCTTTTTTTTTATCCCATTTATTTTATTGCATTTTAGGTTTTGGGGTACATGTGAAGAACATGCAAAATTGTTGCATAGGAACACACGTGGCAGTGTGATTTGCTGCCTTCCTCCCCATCACCTACATCTGGCATTTCTCCCCTTGCTATCTCTCCCCAGCTTCCCACCCCCCACCGTCCCTCCCCTATTTTTTTGAGACAGAGTCTCACTCTGTTGCCCAAGCTGGAGTGCAGTAGTGTGATCACAGCTCACTGCAACCTTCACCCCCCTGGGTTCAAATGATTCTCTTGCCTCATCCTCCCAAGTAGCTGGGACTGCAGGTGCCTGCCACCACATCCAGCTAAGTTTTTGTATTTTTAGTAGAGTCCGGGTTTCACCGTGTTAGCCAGGATGGTTTTAATCTCCTGACCTAGTGATCATCTGCCTGCCTTGGTCTCCCAAAGTGCTGGGATTACAGGCGTGAGCCACCGCGCCTGGCTGGTCATTTTTTTTTTTTTAAGGAAATCTGCACATTTTGTGTTACGAAGTTAATTTTTATTCATTCCCTCTCATTTTTGTCAGCAAACTTAGGCTGTTTGGTCCCACTGTTTCTATTGTTTAAAGTTCCCTAATGATATGCCAGGGCCTGCCTTAGCAAAAAAAAAAAAAAAAAAAAAAAAAAAAAAATTAGCTGGGCATGGTGGCCCGTGCCTGTAGTCCCACCTACTAAGAAGGCTGAGGCAGGAGAATTGCCTAAAAAAAAAAAAAAAAAAAGAGCTGCAAATGTTTCTATTCAGTATAAAGCGTTCAGTAAGGGGTGGAAATGGCCCTCTCTCCTTCAGCTACTGAGGGAAAGTGAACTTTCTGCAACTAAAATTTTCTCAGAAAATATGATTTAATAAGATGTTAATAAACTGAGAACATTTATAAGAATAAAAATCTTGAGTTTTTTGTACAACATGAAGAACTATGTAAATATTAAAAACTGTTATCAATGTGCTCGGCTCTCTGTTCATACAAATAAGCCCTTGGAAATTGAATTTGAACAAGTGGATCCTGAAAATTCTGCAGAGTTTAGACATATGCACCTGGAACTAGAGAAGGGATCTTCCAAAGCACCCTGTGCTTGGTATCCCTTGCGGTTTTCATGACTTGTTGCCCAGTTGATAATGTAATCCATGGCTCCATTTTCTGATGGTACAAAATGGGTGAAGCTGCTCTGTCTTTATAACATTCCTCATCTTTCACATGCATGATGGAAAAATTGCCTATAGCCTGATCAGATTTCTTATTTTAACAAAGATATTGAGAGTCTTGTCTCACTTTAGTGTCATATATGTGAGAGACACAGGCTGGTCATGCATAACATTGAGCTGAGGAGTAAGAAAGTTTTCTTTTTTGTTCCTGCAAGTCCCAGAACCTAGTAAAGTCCCTGGTATATAAAAGGTATCCTATATGTGGGAGGTAAATAAAAATAGGTGGCAAAATAGTTTAGGCCACTAACCTGAGCTCCTCAAAATGAATATATATATTCATTCCTCTCCATTTCTTCCTTTATTCAGACCATTGTGTAGACTCATGAATTCCATGAATTCACACATTCAAATTACTATATTCATGGATTTCATTAATATATTAATTCCCATAATACATTCATTTCATCCATTAATTCACTCCATTTCTCTTTTTACTTTGTACACTCATCGTATTAATCCTTTGTACCATTTATTTATGTAGTGATTTATTCCATTCGCTCCTTCACTATATTCATTCATTAATGTATTTTATTAACTTAACAGATTTTTTGTGACAGAGGATATTTTCTTTTTCTTTTTTTTTTTTTTTTTTTTTTTT